TAATGTCAGCAAAGGAATCATCATCACCATCATCGCCATTGCCATCATCATCACCATCACCACCACCACGACCACCACCACCACCAGCAGCAGCAACAGCAGCAGCAGCAGCAGAATAGATAAATAATCAACAAAGTGGGAAGGCCAGGTGAGCAAAAGGATAAAATTTTCTTTCTTCTATGTCCTTTCATGTGGACTGCTATCAGAGCATCCCACCTTCATTTAGGGTGGGTTTTCCCACATCAGTTAAAGCATGAAGACAATCCCTCACAGACAGGCTCAGTGGCCAACCCACTGAACACAGTCCTTCAGTGATACTCCCCCGGTGATTCTAGGCCATGTCAAACTGACAGACCCAGCTAACCATCAAGGTAGGCAATCATTCTACCACTGGTACAAACCAACCCTGGTTATCTTAGTTGAAGACATGAGAAATTAGAGAAATGGGATATCATAGCCCAGCTATCTTAATTTAACAAATGACAAAATACAGAAATGGGAGCTGGATAGATGGCTTAACAGTTAGAAAAACTGATCATTCTTGCAAAGGACACGAGTTCAGTTCCCAGCACTGATACTGATACTGTCTGCAAGCCCAATGATGAGGGGTTCCATGCCCTCTTCGGCGCCAAGGACCCAGGAACACAAATAATGCACAGGCATGCCGGCAAACACTCATACATGCAAAATAAAAGTAAATAAATTTTTTTTAAAAAATACAGAAATGGACAGTTTTTCTTTATTTGCTGTGTGTGCCAATCTGTTTGTATACATATACATATACTTATACATATACATATATATACATATACATAAGAATGTGTATTGGCTAAGTGCGAAGGTGTGTGCATAAGCGTGAGCGTACATGCATGCGTGTGTGTGTGTGTGTGTGTGTGTGTGTGTGTGTGTCTGTGCACGTGTGTGTGCGTGTGTGTGCGCATGCACGCGCGCAGTACAGGAGAAAACTTTGGGTATCATTCCTCAGTGGACTCTGTCTGTCCCTTGCCTTCCTCTAGCCAAGCTCTCTCATTAGCCGGGTACTTACAAAGTAGACTAGCCTGGCTGGTTCCTGAGCCTCGGGGATCTGCCTGCCTCAGCAAGGGCAATGCTCATACCCAACCCCCATGCCCCGCTTTATTTTTAAACATGAGTTTTGAAGATCGAACTCAGGTCCTCGGGTCCTTGTTCCCACAAATCAAGGACTTTAGCAACTGGGTTGCCTCCCCAAACCGCAAAGCAAACATTTGAAATCAAATCAGGTGAGAGTTGTTCTGAACTACCTCACTGTTTTTTGTCAATCATTATTAACACATCAAAAAAGTCAGCATCTTCTTGTTGTTTGAGCATTTCCATTTCCTTTCCTGCTTAGTCCTCTCACATCTCAGTTGTTTTTTTTAAAATAACAATTTGGTTTAGTGTGCTAAAAATACCCTTTGTGCACTGTTGGCATTTTTTTTTCTTCTTAGTTTCATTGTTACATGGAGCCCTAATTTTTGTGGTGAGACTAGGAAAAAGGGCATGCCGATAGTAAGCACATTTGCTGGAGGCTGGTGTGGGACTATGCCAACCTAGCTGGGAAGCCACCTTTCTGATTATTTTCACTGTCCCATTCCTTAATCACACAGTATTCTGTATTAAATGCATTGAGTTGCTATCTTTAGACAGCATCTATTTTTAGTAACAAACCGTCTCTCTGAGGTACATACAGCTGCTCATTCACACTAAAGCCTTTTCCACAAAGCTCACATTCTCCTCCTTTTTTTTTTTTTTTTTTTT